AGATTTGCTTCTCTTCGACACTAGAATTTACTCAACCCACGCCTCCTAGAAACTAAAAGTACAGAGTCACTTTTAAAATGATAATAATAAATAAAGTGTCTGATATGAATGAATTAGAAAATGGTAGGAGATATAGATGATCAGGATAAGGGGGATAGATAACGAGTGAGTCTTGTTTTGTTGTGGTTAAGATGGCTGTGTTCACAAAAGCAACCATTTTAGATCTTGATCTATAAAGTGACAGGACTTGCGAAAAACGATGTGAAGTAGGACTTTCTTTCTTAAGTTTGGAATACGGTGGAAATTAGGGTGTTTTGACACTATGGAAGTAGTATGGGATATCTTACCTGTAAATGTTTTGAATGGTGTTCTACTGAATATTTGCCACGGAATCAGAGATAAAACATAGTCCTGGTGGATCAATGGTGGGGGGAAGGCTGGCTTGTAAAATTCAATATAGCCAAATCAAACTAGTAACATACTACACCAGCGAGCAGACCACAAACTTTCACCTATCATAATGGATGGATATTCTCTCAAGGAAGACTCGTTGCCTTGTACGTCTACTGGGACTAAAATTCAAATACCTCAAATGGAATACATATATACAATCTATTGCTACAGAGATGTGACATTCATTTACCGCGATAGCAATTTGTTTGAATTTTAGAGTGAGAAGCGTTTTTTTTTTTTTTTTTGTTTCATTCTTTTTTTTTTGTGATTGTGTATTAGAAACCCCTAGCTAGATTTTTGTTCTCCAAGCCGATCTTAAATTGTTTGAAATATTTAATTTTTTCTATCTTCTACTTGACTGGTTGTTTAATTGGTTGTTTATGTTTAGCGGCATATCAACACCTCTATGTGTTATTTACTGGCGAAATCTAAATATATTGTATACAATTTTACTTTATTTTTGTAGATAATAATGTTTTAGCGATACAAGTCTTACTAATTAACCCATAGCTGACGGGAGAATAGGTGGATTCGTGCCTTTTTCAAGAGTATTTGTGCGTGAGCGAATATAACAAACCCGACTGAAAATGGAACTCGTCTCTGCGATTACCAATTACGTGTCATTATCTATTACACCAGCCTCACATCCAAACTTACAATATTTAGTATTCCTAAGCGGTCACCCATCTGGGTACTGACCAGGTACGACGTGGCTTAACTTCAGTGTTTCAATGTGATGTGGTCGTAAGCCTTTTCTACTTGATATTCTTCGCATCTACTAATGGGATTGGAGGTGATCCCTCCTATAAGAGAGGGATTTTCGCTTAAGACAGCGCTCACCTTGAAATGTAATATTTACACCTTTGTCCAGGTAAGTGTGTGTATGATTTCGCCCGTCTTAAATGTAAGCTATGTGATATTTTATCCAATTAATTTACTTTTCTGGAATAGGCCTGGTGGGAAACCGTTTTTTTTTTTTTTCTATTTTCCTGATAAAACAAGTTCTTGTACGATGATTTTAGTTTTAATTCCCTACTCGAATTTATTCCGCCCGTGGATATTTCGAATTAAGTTGAAAATTTATAGATAATATAATACTGCCAGTTCCCTAAGTAACCTAACCTAACACATGTATTTGCCGCTAATCCTACACTCGATCTCGTTGGTATTAACCCGATCTTAAACTAATGTGATAGGGAGAAACGGTAACGAAAAGAGGAGGGAGTGTCTTAAATTACCTCACAAGGTAACACTGTGCCCCTAAGCATCTACGCCTCCTTGACGATATTTTATGGTGTAATCTATTCATATTTCTTTTTCTTTTGTTTGATTTTAGGTAAGTCAACCAATCGCCCGGTTCGCACAATTCCCCGGTATTTTAGGCCGGAGTAGAGGTTTATTCCCCTTTGTTTTTTTATTTTTATTTTTGGATCGTACAATCCGGTTCACTATTCAAAGACTTTAATAATGGTGCCTGTCATGCAGCTCTAACCCAGGTATAGGAGAAATAATCCACCTGATATTTTAAAGTTAAAGCAAGTCAAGTGTTCCAAGGTAATAAACGTACCCACTATTCTTACAGCATCTTTATTAATGGATTGCATATATGAGTTTCAAATGAGGTCTGTGGTGACCTTGAGACCTCATAGACGTTGAAAGCGTTAAGTTTGAGTGCGCAACTGTTCATCGTTACTGGTAAAAAAGTCAAATAATTTTATTGGGTATTAAATAACAGCATGTCTACACGATGCTCCTACCGTATCCACATTATTCTTTGCGGAATTTTACCCTATTCATAGCTGGCAGCTTTCATTTGGAATTAAATGACAAATTTCCACTGCATTGCAGCACCTTCCAGAATATTTAAAATTATTTTAATAATCTGACCGTATTGCATTTTGTTTTTAACTTTTCCTAGATTTTTAATTTTTTTTTTCCCGATTCAGTTCTCTTTAAAACAATTAAAATTATGCACATTAAGATACAAATTAGGGATAAATTCGCATTCTCTTTTCTTTCTAAATCTATCTTACACATATTATCAAGTTTTCACTCGCTTTTAATGTTAACATAAAATCAAATGGAAATGGAAATTATTATGTATTATTATTATTTGATAGCTTAGCATGCCTGCAAAGTGACACCAATATACAAATATACGAAACGCGTTAGTCCGATCATGACACGCAAATTAATAGCTGTATAACGAGCATATGCATCACAGCCAAATGTGAACGATTTGGTGATGAAATAAAAACGCTTGCTATTACAAGTGGAACCCAGTTAGAAATACTTTCATGTCGGGTAACCCAGCCATCTTGACTAGTCTCCGGTTTAAGAGGATTTCATACTACTAGGGGTGACTCCCAAGTCGACTTTATTGTGTCGTTCGTCAAACAATTCCCTCGATATCCAGACATGATGTTACTAATAAAAGAAAAAAGAATAGTGAAGCTAGGTGAATAAATACTAATTGAAGAGCAGAATGAAATTAAAAGAATGAAGAATAATTCATGAAATCAGTCGAACAAAATAAAAGAAAAGAATGAAAGCAGGGACTCAGTGGAGAAATTAACGATGAATGACGAACGAATGCAAAAATAAAAGTGAGACATGCACCGAAGAGAACAATATCAAAAGAAGTTGTGTGATGTTGTCCGGCTTCGCTTGTCACTTTTGCTATGTTAAGCGAAAACTCATCATTTCCAAAAATGATCGTTATATTCAAGACTTCATAGACGCCGGTACTAGTTGTAACGCCTTCCAGTAATACCCGCACTAGTAATACTTGTTCAAGTAGTAATTGCCAAATAGTATAATGATCAGAAGAGAATCGTAATCCGTATAGTATTAGAGTAGACAGAGTGAACGTATAGCAATGGTGCATAGACAAGAAGATGAACATTGATTACCATAGTGGATAGACAAAAAGAGTGAACAGTGATCGTATGGTCACCACGCTACTTTCTATTTACTCACTTCTTTATGGTCCCGGATCTAGTTAATAATGGAATCGTAATCCGTATAGTAGTAGAGTAGAGAGAGTGAACGTATAGTAATGGTGCATAGACAGGAAGAGTGAAGAGTGATCCCTATAGTGATAAAGGAGAAATAGTGATCAGTGAATCGTTACGCGACTTCGTATTTATTCACTTCCTTTTATGATCACGTGATCTACTTAATAATGGAATCGCCCGTGAGTAACACGGGCGATCTAGTTTCAAACCACAGCGTCGCCAAAGACACGTACTCTTATACAACAAGAAGGAATTCATGAAAATAGGCAGAGGAAAATGATGTAACTACCAAATAAAGACAAGGGGAGAAAACAAGGGAAAATAAGGAAACCAAAACAGAAATAAGAAAGAATGACAATAAAGAAAGAATGAAGAAAGAATGAAAAATCAGAAAAAAAATAAAATAGACGAAAAAAAAGAAAAGAAAAACAAAGCAGGAAAAATGAAAATAATCGTTCTAAAAAAGTGAAAAATGGCAAAGGAAAAAAGAATGAAAATGTAGTGGATCGTATGTTTTTACGCGTTGTGAGATGAACATGTGTATCTCCTGAAATAAGGCCCACTACAAATACAGCGGGCTCAAGATGAGTCCACCCAAAAGAAAGTCCGATTGAGTTTGTCTGACGATAGCAAAAGCGTGAAACCCAGGGTCACAAACTCACATCAATCCAACCAAATATGTTAGCTCTATCTCTGATATTGTGCGCTTTCTAATAAGTACCGCGCATATAATATATAAATAATTATATACACACACACACATATATATACAATTTTCACACACACACATACATATATATATAGAGAGATACAGAGAGAGAGAGAGAAAGAGAAAGAGAGAAAGAAACAATTATATGTGTATTAACTAGTAAACGGATAAAATTACAAAAACAATAATGTGTATGCGTAACAAATAATTGTGTAAAGTTTGTGTTCCAAGAAATGCGTGAGTGAATGTTCGTACGTACGTGCATGTGTGTGTGTGTGTGTGTGTGTGTAATGTTCATAGTGTCTCCCATATCCCACAAAGGGAAAAACGCAAATCTCCACGAGAGATTACATTTTTGAAGTGTCTGCTGAAATATGAAAAAAAGAGGACGAGGTGAGAAACTCGTCAAGTATATATAGTAAATTGATAGCTCCCACCGGGTGGTGGTTTCAAAATTTAGGAGGAGATAACTCCAATCAATAGACGGGACCAAGGAAAAAGACAAGGAAAAAAAAGAAAGAAAATATTCGAACAAATAAAAAAAAAAAAAAAAAAGAAACAACAAAAGAATGAAAATAAACCCGACAGAAAGAAAGAATGAAAATCAAACGAATTAACCAAAAGAATAAAAGAATGAAAATAGGCGACAAAAACAGACGGGGAAAAAAAGATATTGAGTAAAGATGAAAAAAGAAAAAAGAAAAAAGAAAGAAGAAACGAATGAACATGTCGAATAAAATCAAACAAGAAAATATAAAACCGAAAGAAGAAAACAATGAAACAGGCGAAAAAAAATTAAAGAATGCAGATAACGAATAAATTCAAATGAAGGAAAACAATACATAAAGAAAACAATGTAAATACCAAAGAAAATTAAATAGAAATATAAAACTGGAAGAATGAAAAAAAATGGAAATTGGCAAGGAAATGAATGAAAATACCGAATAAAGTCAAAAGAAGAAAAATGAACGATAAAAAAACAATAAAAATCAGTGAAGACATGAGAATAAAACGATGAATATAGGCTCAGAAAAAAAATGAAGAAAAGAATGAAAATACCGAATGAAATAAGAAATAAAACGGAAAGAAGAAGACAAAGAAAATTGGCGAAGAAATGAATGAAAATATCGAATAAAGTCAAAAGAAGAAAAATCAAGGTGAAAGAAAACCCACGAAAATCAGCACCAGCTGGACAGTAAAATAATGATAATCGACGAGGGAAAAAAGAAGAAAAAATGAATAAAAAATATCCAATAAATTCAAAAGAACAAAAAAATACGACAGAAGAGAACAATGAAGATTGGATAAGGAAGAAAAAAAAACAGTAAAAGAGAATTAAAACCGCAAATAAAATCAAAAGACCCAACTGTAAATCATCGAAGTAAGACTAAAAAAAAAATAGAAATTAAAATATCATTATGATATGATGAACATGATACAGAATAGAAAGAGCCAAATAAGCCGGCAAATAAAGAAGTGTTCCTCTTAATGATAGCAAGGAAGAAGATTGTAAGACGCTAGCACAAGCGAAATTACCTCTTGATCGATAAAGAATTAATCCCGGAGCCTTCCCATGTGCGCTTTCCAAGGTATTCATCACGCCATGCAAAAGATATAATTATTGTCTTATCATTTATTATTTTCCCATACTGTTTTTTTCTCTCTCGCCTCCATCTTTGCGACGGCACGTATCGTATCAATAGCTTGAGCCATGCGTTTTTGGTTAGTTTCGCATTTTCTCTATTGTTTTCTTACTTGATTCCTTTCCTTTTTCGTCCACCTTCTTCTTGTTTTCCCCTCCTCTTATTTGATGAGAGTGTTACGTTTTCTTTTTATGCCAAAGCATTCGAGGAAAGAATGGTTTGTAATCCAATGCATTAATCAAGAAATATATAATTTCTAGTTTAAGTTTCAGATAATAACTAGGTAGATAATTATATATGTATAATGCATCTGTGAAAACTTAGTAAATATAACTTATATATATATATATATATATATATATATATATATATATATATATATATATATATATATGTATTTTGATATTATCCAGTTCAGTAGCTTTGATTTTATTTAATACAAATCTCTCTTGTTGAGTATCATCTCGAAGATTTAAAGCTTTAATATTTTTACATTATTCCGCTTTAAAAGATTGCAATATAGAATCATTAAATTATTTCCGAAAGATTGTATTTATCCGAATTCATCTTCATGTCGGGTATCATAAACATATACGCAAATACAGTCCTGTTAAAAAGGATTTACTCACCTGTCATTACTTTATGTTCTGCTACCAAAGAACCAGACTTTCTTGTTTATCTTTAAGGTTGGCTTTCGCAATAACTCTTAAAACTTTAAAGATCCTTTAATGTGTGTGCGTTTTTATTTTCTCCCTGAGCATTAGTTTCTTTTTTCTTTCCATTTTTAAACATCCTGGGTATGACGATAAACTACATCCGGCAGTAAGGCGAGAGATTTTGTGGATTATGGAACGACCTCTTAATTGCTGTTGTTTACAGGTCCATCCTGATCCGGTTTGCTCACACCTGTTAGGCTCGCAGCTATGAACCCTAAAACTGTCGTCAAACATTATGGAAGTATAAAGATAGATTTTTTATTGTAGAAATGCCAAATTACATTTTTTTTAAATATTACGAACAATACATTTTTGCAATAAACAAAAAATATTCCCAGCAATATAGTTGACAGGAAACAAAAACTCTTTACAATAATACTGTGAAAAAATGTAATAAAACTTTATCTACAAACTGATTTCTTACAAAGAATAGATATTTTATTCATACGGGCCTATCCTAAAAATGATGTAGGCATTAAATAACCCATTCAGGTAGATATGCCGTAAAGCAAAATAAACTACAATCCGCTTCTTTTTTTTAACCATATTTAATTCTAGAACAGGAAAATTTTCAGTTGTGCCTGATTTTTTTTATGTTTTAAACGCATTTGTGACTAATGAATCATTCCACATAAAAATGCAACTAACTCAAAGGATGAAAAAATAAGTACAAGCATGACAGACAATTTTGCAAATAAAGACATTTTAAATTGTAGCATCACATTCAATATTTAATTGTACATATTTGTTCAGTACTTTGATGACATTTGTATGAATTTAGTAAAAGACGTATAAAGTATGAAAGAAGAGCTTTATCTGATAAACAAAAATGGTATGAATACTCTTGAAACACGTCTTGATGTGTATACTTAACCCATTAACTGCCAATTTTTAATGCGCATTTTTGACCCAGACAGGTGTCTTAAGAGTTCATTTATTCCTTATGTTTAATTTCAGTCGTTACAATTGTCGTTTTTATTGAAACTAGAACATCAAATATATATGTGTATAAAACATCAAAAAATAATACTGTTTATAAATAATAAAAAATACTTTTCAAAATAGTCATTATTTTTCTACTCGTGAAATGTAAAATTACGACAGAAAGTGTCTTCTTACGGCTAATAATAAAAACTTTAAAGGCTAAGTGTTGTAAAATATACCTCTGCAAATGCAATTTATGGAAGCAATTCAGTGTAAATACAAGGAATAACATGCATTGAGTTTAATTTTAAGAGATCCCCAAATGGGACCCATGACAGGTAATCGGTTAAGCAATCCACAGTGAGCATTGATGACTGCTTCAATACGAACCCCGGATCATTGACATGCTTGAATTATTGATCTTTATCTATTCTGGACAGTGTGCTTGACTTCAGAGATGCTATAGTTTTATGAGGCTTCGATTGTCTTCCCTGTCGACAATGTTGCAGACGTAGTAGTCCAACGGATTCAGGTCTGAAAAGTTAATGTGCCATATAAGGGTGACCTGAACGTAGATATTATAAATAATAGGCTTATAGATATTATAAATAATAGGCTTATAGATATGATAAATAATATACTCACAGACTTAGATTGATGAGACGGGAGAGAGTCATGTTCGTAGGTGGTAGGGTATTCCTTTGTTTACGATTTCTATCCAATTCCTCACAAATCTCTGCTCGCAGACAGCAGCATAGGTTCTTAATATTTGAGGAATAAATTCAGGAAGCATGACAACACCTTCGTTACTCATGACTCCAAGTAGCATCACAGTTACTGAAAACTTTGTGTGTGTTATTATTGGAACTTCATTGCGATCTGTACATAACCATTTATCAGTGCTTGCCATTTCTTTTGGTACTGGTCTAAAATTTTATCATCATAGAAAAACCGAAGCATTCCAGTTTCTTGAGAGTCTGTCTATATTTCAGAGATGAGGTATTATGTACATTATTTACATTATTCGGACTACTATCCTCATCTTTGTCGCCATATTTATCACAACGTTTCGGTCGTTGTACGCTCCGGCCTTCTTCAGGTAGTTGGAATGTCGAACTGAACCCTTTATTTCGCTCACTGGGGTAGACTGTTCTAGTTCTACGTGCCATGTTTAATGGATGTCAGTTATCAGTTATCTCCTGTTAATTTCCCTCTGAAAGTTCTCCACTGCCTTAACCGGATATTGAACTCACACTCTTTGGGTCCTGTCACTGGATCTAACCATTATCCACTGTGCCATGTGTCCGAATAATGTAAATAATGTCCAGGTTCTTGATGTTCTAACTTGCTCTGAAAGACGGATAAGACGGTTGTCTTTTATCATTGCAGACAGGAATTGGTCTCTCTGCATTATATATGACTTTTAGAGAACCTTGAAACTTTGTGCTTCTTAGCGTGACGCTAATTGACTTTCTGGTGTTATTATCGACAATTCTCTCTACCAATCGTACGAATTTGCGTGCTCTGATTGTATTAGAACACTTAGAAAGCTTTTTACTTAAGAAGGTTCCGGTTCATTGCGAACTTTTACAACAAATGACCGTCTAATTTTTAAATCACTATGCATTACAATGTGCCTTTTCATTTGCTGAGTTACCTTCATGTTTTGCATCATTTATCTGAAAGTAAATTGGAATAAGAAAAGATTTTTTTTTAAAAAGTCAGAGCTAGTAAAAGACTTAACGTCAAAGAACTGCGCAATCCGATATCTTTAGACACATACTAATTTTATTACAGTAATAAAAACAGATATTAAAAAGAACACGCATAACAAAAAATAGGGAAACCAAATATATATATATATAAGTTTAAGCAAACTTAGGTAATCCTTATGGGTAGACCCGAGGAGGATGTTAAAGGGGTTATGGTGAAATAACATATTACATGGAATCTTAACGTGGTCTGTTTTTATTCAATATATATATATATATATATATATATATATATATATATATATATATATATATATATATATATATATATATATATATATATATGACCATAAACTGGTAATACCCAAATATAACGACTATAAATAGGTAAAAACTGTTTTATCGTTCCGTTACTATGAGATAAATAGATTTAGCTGTTTTTAATCGTTATGTGTGTGTTTTTAATCATTTCATCGCATTGAAAATTAAAAAGATAGAAAATAGAAATAAATATATATATAGATATTAATAGATTGAGACATAGAATTTTTTCATCTATTTATCTACATATCTAGCTATCTATCCTTATTCTTCTATATTTATCTATATATAAGTCGACTCTTAAGTGTCTCATACAATCTTTCTCAATATGCATAAATCGGGCGATGTTAAAAAAGGAGTAGGAAAATCAATTAATACTTCAAAAGACGGTAAATTAATAAACCTGTTAGTCTGAATAAAGTCGACGTTCGGAAGATTTTCTCCAATTTATACGTCCCTACTAGTCACTTAAAAGTATCCGTTAAGGTTTCTTGATTTCGAATGGGACATTTCACTTTGAACCTAGGCTAGAATAATTTTCCCTCTTTTGTTAGATTGTTTCTATAACTGTGATCACATCTACTGCATGGTTTCCATAAGCTTTCAAAAAAACTTCGTAGAAGGTTATCATGTTAAACCTTTATACACGGAGGAATTCAGATCCACATACAACCTCTCTTGAGGATCTTTTATAACCTACGCCAGTAGATGTTAAAAATTCACTCCAAATAACTAGTGTTTTCCTTTTAAAGCGTAAAAAAGATATCAGTCTCAATATAGTTTCTGTTATGAAAGTGGATTTGAATTCCTCCGTGTATAAAGGTTTAACATAATAACATACTACCACATTTCTGTTATTGCAGAATAAATATCCATAATAACATACTACTAAGTTTTTTGAAAGCTTATGGTGACCATACAGTGGATGTGATCACAGATATAGAGAAAATCTGTTTATTTTAAATGAAACCATATTCCTTCAGTTTTATTGGTATCCTTGTATCCGCCGAATGTGGATTTTACAAGGTGGAGTTGCTAACCGCAACGCAACAGGCTTTGAAATTGATGTTT